GATTGTTTTCCTTGCTTTAGGTTTTTGTTTTTGTTTGATGTAACTCGAGACTGTCATGTATGTGTAGTATGTGTGTGCATGTATGTGACATGGGTAGCATAATGAGGGGTATGAAAACTTGGAGGAGAATTGGTGAGAATCGTGATCGGGGTCAGACTATTGGTACGAGTGGTCTGGAATATTATTTAGTTTTGGCTCAACACAACTCTGTGATATTCTTAGTATTCTATTCTAAATCCTACATCATGTTAAATGTACATGCTGATGTAACAAACCAGTTACAATGTGATAGATGAACTGTATATTCAGAGTGCTATTGTGGTTCTTACTCGGAAATTCTATTGGATGTTTTACTGATGTTTAGAAAATCGAAATAGAACCTGTTATACTAAAATGCATCATTTTTGGGATTATGTGTGTCAAGCCATTTATGTGTATATGTCCTTGACGTTTAACATCAGACGGGCAACAGCAGAGGGCTTGTGCAAGTTCTCAACATTTCAACGGGAAAATACGCTAAAGGAGGCTCTAGCAAAGCAACAGGGAAGGTCATGGCCTTGGAATTTGAACCAACTGGGCGGCTTCTTTGGTCAGGTGATGACAAGGTATTGTGCTATATCTAGTTCTGCTGCAATCATCAGCAAAATATGACCCAACATTATACGTTATTTATATATTTTATACATTATAACATTACAAGTAATTATGCTTTTGATAATCCTGTGATTCCTGTGCATCCTGTGAATGTTGTTTACTTACATTACCTTTTGTTTTAATCTAGAGGACTATATATACTATATACTACATACTATATACTATGTTATGATTACATATATATGGGTATAACATATAATGTTAATTTCAGTGTAATTTTTAATTTTAGGGTACCATATTCTCCTACATATTTGACATGGCAACTGGAAAGTTGACCAAATCAAAGCGCATTGTCGCGTGTGAGGGCGCCACTATCTCTTGTATATGCGCTCGCTCATGGATCAGTAGAGAGGCGCGAGACCCATCCCTGCTAGTCAACATCAGTGCAAACTCGCTTTGCCTCTTCAGGTAGGTGATGTGTGTAGTGTGTACGACCTTCACTAGATGGTGCTGCATGTATTATAGTTTTACTGTACATCTCTCCCTCTGTGTTCTGCTCTTTACCAATGCCATTAGCTTGGATGGATGGAATGTTGGATAGATTCATTGATTAAGAGCTTCTGCCATGATATTTCTTACTTAGATAGCTAGAGAGGTGAGTGGAAGGGCAGATGAACGGATGGACTGGTGGATACTGATAGATAAATTAATATTTGCTGCTCTCCTTGGGCTTCCAGCCTTTCTCTATGTCCCGAAATGCTGCTTTTCGCTGAACAGACTTAACTATTTATCAAAGCTCCTTATCAAACGTGTATGCTCGATATTAATGCTCCTGAATAAAGTTCTGTGAAAAATCAGCTGCATCAAGACGTTCATTTCGAGAATTGTCAGCATGTTTCTGCACGATGTCACTTCACGTCACACTATTTTTGCTTGGCTTGCTCGGCAGTACTTGTGTTTGCCGCTGCAGGGTGATGGATAAGAGCGGTACACTGAAGCTGCGTAGGAGGATGTCTGTGCGACACCGTTCCTACAACATACACAGCTCATTCTGTCCTCTAATGTCGTTCCGGCAGGGTGCCTGCGTCGGTAAGTAGCGCTCGTAGGGTCTATGTCCCCCAGGGTACTATCGGAGGGTACCCTGGGTACGGTTCGATATATCGGAACGTACCCTGGTAACTATCTGATATGGTTAGGGTTAGGGAGTTAGTGGAGTAGGCGAGGTACGGTACGGCATATTAGATAGTACCAGGGTACGTTCCGATATATTGAACTGTACCCAGGGTACCCTCCGATAGTACCCTGGGGGACATAGACCTTATCTGCGTAAGTAGCTATATACATTGTAAGAGTATTGCTTCGTAGCATCAATTGTATTTTGGAAGACCACTCATGCAAAGTTCTGTTGTATTGTTTGGTGATCAGTGTCAGATGAATATAATCCCCCGACGTACTGTATCAAGTGACACAAGATCACGGATACTCCGGTCACTTGCGTCAAATGATATCCTGCGCGTTTTCAGTTCTTGTTCGCTGCAGTACCGTGCGATGTGTGTATGGCTACCCCAGGTTCCGCGCGGCAAGTATCAATGTTATTATCGGAGATTCAGTGATGTGAGTGTTGACGAGTAATCAATAGCACACAGTAAACACAAATGACAAGTGTGTGATGAACGAATTATAGGTTTATTCTAGAGATCACTGTTACTACACCGTCTAAAATTAATGTCCGGGAGCACACGAAAATCTACGTCTTGGTCGAAAACATGAATGCGTGACTCATTACCTCTGCCCAGGATCGCTCTCATGTAGTGTGTTCGTGTGTTAGTGTGTTCGCGCGATCGATATTAGCGCGTCGAGTCAGCAGCAGGCCAGTCAGTCAGCAGCAGCCAACAGCGAGCGGCGAGCCAGTTCGTAACACATACATGTTACCTGCTGGCGGAGGTATGCACTCTTCGTGAGTGCCCTCTGTCTAGTTACTATAATATTATAGGATTATTTGAGGTGATGTTTTACTCATATTATCAGGAGTCTATCAATATTTGATATATTGATAGACTCCTGACATTGTGTCCTGAGACCACAAGCTGATAGGCGTTTCATTGTTCCACAAGCAGAGTGAGTACGAGATGTAGTTTCTTTCACGGACGTAAGACACAACTTTTTTTGATATTTCGCATTTATATATGATTATTGCATGGAAATATGATATAAATTTACGAGGCCGGCAAAATTTACCATCGCGACATATAGTGCACAGGCACACTGGATCTGTGTCATTAGCGAGCTGTATGAATGGTTGTACTAGAGTCACGTGGAGACTGTACACGTGTGAGACTAGAGACATGTGATACATTCTGTTCTACAAAGTTATCTTACACCTGAGCTCTGTGAGCATCACTTAACAAGGAGAGGGGAGGAGGGTGTGGTTCTGTGAGCATCACTTAACAAGGAGAGGGGAGGAGGGTGTGGTTCTGTGACCATCGCTTAACGAGGAGAGGGGAGGAGGGTGTGGCTCTGTGACCATCGCTTAACGAGGAGAGGGAAGGAGGGTGTGGCTCTGTGAGCATGATTTCATGTGGAGGAGAAATGTATTGGGATTTGCTGCATGGCATCAGCTGCACAGTCTCCAGTTAGTTACCTAACACTATGTATACGCAGTTACGAGTAAATATTGTAAATGGTGATATGGATATTATTATTCACTTGTGTTTGTAGATACCTGAATATAATATATTGCAATATGTGATTGAATAATTTCATCGGATCTCTATAGTTCACATAAAAATAAAGTTTATCTCAGTTAGATCCATAATAAGTTATACTTACTTACAATGATGAGGAAGTCTATCGGAGAGATGGACGAATATTTCGTCGTTGTAAGTAATTATAACTTATTATGGATCTAACTGAGATAAACTTTATTTTTATTGCAATATTGTTTTAACTTCATGACTATGACGATGCTGATGATGAGAATGATGCTGCTGATGATGATGATGATGATAATGATGATGATGATGATGATGATGATGATGATGATGATGATGATAATGATGATGCTGCTGATGATGATGATGATGATAATGATGATGATGATGATGACACTGACAATGACAGCTGACATGGCAATAATGATGATGATAAGCATCAACATCATCATCATCATCATTAATATCACCATCATCATCGTCATCATCATCATAACTGGGATAAAAGCATTTAGCTCAAAAAATTTGATGAAATGGTGAAATAAGTGGACAATAAATCGTAAATGTATACAGATTAAGGCTGATATGTATTAACATTACCTTTTTGTTTTACAAATGTACAACAATTATTACAAAAATGGAGCAATGCACATAATTCATATAGATGTACATTAAGCACACTGTACTGCGAACAGTATCAAGCATCTGCTATCAGGCACACGCTCTTCCCATGTCTACGTAGTACAGCATTCCATACCAATTCAATAAATTAACTTAAAGTTTACAAGTCCATCGAACCAAGAACTAGCAGAATCTGGTGATAGCTGAAGTTGTCATCACGTTATTATTGATGAATGCGATCATAGACTTAAATACATGATTTCCTTCGTATGCGGGAGCCGCATCTTACACATTCATTGCTAATTGCGGTAACGATAAGCCACGAGAACCCCTAATAAATTACAGCCGTGTTGGTTGCTATACACTCAGCGTACAGTCGTTGAAACCTGCGATGTTGTGACGTTGGCCTTGTAGCAGCAACCACCACCACAACGTATGCCGGGAGAGCGAACACACACACACACACACACACACACACACACACACACACACACACACACACACACACACACTCCTCTACACAGACGGCAAACGGCGAACCAGCACACCGCAACCGACACCGTAACCGTGGCAACGAGAAACGCCGCGACGTCGATCAGGTAGTACTGGAAGAAGTTGAGCTCGGCGGAGGCTGCGGGCACGAGATGGCGCGCGCCGTCCGTTGCCACGAGGTACTCCGTCCAGAACACGACGCGCTCGCCCGCCGTCATCGCGTTGCCGTGGTACGCGGCGGAGACGCCGCGGGCGCGCTCGGCGTACTTCGCGTCGCCGGCAACCTCGACGATCATCGCGCGAAGCTCGTCGGCCGTGCACGCCACCAGGTCGCGCCACATGCCCATGCCGTGCTCGACAACCTTGCGGCCGGCGGCAGGGCCGTCCGCTCCCTGCGCGAGCACGATGCAGGGCACACCGTGGTAGACGGCGTCCCACATGCCGTTGTTGCCGCCGTGGCTGACGAAGACGCGCGTGCGCCGATCGCCGAGAAGGTCGTTCTGCGGCATCCAATCAACGACGAGGACGTTGTCGCCGACGAGGCGGCGGTCGCGCGCCGCCGTCTTCCAGACGAAGTAGTACGGCAGTCCGTCGATGGCGCGAGCGATCTTCTCACTCACCTCCTCGTGGAAGACTGTGATCATCGAACCGAACGAGATGACGACGATGCCGGCGTCGCCCGCTCGGCGCGCGAACGCCTCGAGGGCCCCGTCGAGCGGCGCCGCCTGGTGGGAGTTGATGCCGCCGATGCAGACGAGGTTTGGCATCGTTGGTATCAGGTCGTCGTAGGCAAAGTCGCCGGCAGCGAAGTGGAGGTTGGCGGAGCGGTAGACGTTCTCGAGGCTACGTGAGGGAAGGTAGCCGCGTTGCTTGGCCAGCGTCTCAATGGGGCGGTACAGCGTGAAGTGCAGCATCACTGCAGAGCAAGGAACGCAGGCGCCCGTGATCAGTAACAAAATTAGTCTTAGCGTTAGTTAACTTTTCTCTCATGGACCGGACTTCTGTGCGTATGAGGAAACTTGTAACTTTACCATGTTACTGTCAACGGTGTATGAGAAAAGGTTAATGCTAAGACTAATGGTAAGACGTTTGACTAAGCAGAGGAACGAATGCGTGAGCAGGAGTTGATTTAACCCGCACTAGTGACTATTGTATCTTCATGTCGTCAGACAGATGGAACAAGTGCTACCTGAGGTGAAGGTACTGTTATTTATTGCTCATGCTGAAGTACGAAAACACGAGAATCGATTGTAAGGCAAACATTCTAACTGTATTAGTAACACCACTAGACTTTTAGTAGGAGAGACTATCACAGCCCTAGAGCATGATCAGGGGTTGATCGAACTGCAGTAGTGACTATAACACAGTGCTATGAGGCAAGGGAACCAGGGGCTGCCAGTGGTAGAAAAAGCCATTATTGACCAGATTTCGAATACCGAATAACAAGATAATAACGTGGGGTATTGATTGTAACTTTGCAATGTTTATTGTAAGTGTAAGTTTGCAGCTGCATGCAATAGTGACTATCGCTACCCTACAGCATGATCAGGGGGTTTATTCTAAGGGGAATTATCCAACTGATACATAAGGATATAGCTGCAATGTGGTCATATAAGGACAATAAATCACAGCCCTACGAGGCAGAGGGACTGGGAGGGATTCTTGGCAGTGAACAAACTGGAGCGTGCGGCTTCTGGTAAATTTCGCGAATTTTTTTAACGGTACATGCAGGCATGCATTAGTTACTATCATAACCCTATGATGCAGGAGAAGGGCTGGCAGGGGGCTATTCGTATTCGTATCAGCTGTGAACGTATGCAGGGCGGTAGCTAGTGAAGGGCAAGGGGGGCAATTCAGAAAACAAGACAATACATGGTCAATGGCGGGCACCTTCACAGAACACCACGCAAGTGGCGCATGTAAAAACACACTGTAATCAGGAGTGAATAATAGAGAATAAATCTCTATTATTCACTCCTGCTGTAATGTTGACAGGTCACGCTAAGCGGCTTGGTGAAAAGAAATCGCTAGAACATTCTGTATAACGAAACTCGCTAACGAGTAAAGAGCCAGCGAGGGTGGGGGTGGAGACTTTTTTATGCGCAAAAATCTTTATGTGCCATCTTGTCATGTGTCCCCTGCCTAGATACAATAATGTAACCCAACAAGAGTAGGGTTGGGTAACCCACTGGGGTACTACTGGGTTACCCCATGGGTAACCCAACCCTACTCTTGTTGGGTTACATAACTTACATTATTGTATCT